GAAAGACCTAATAAGATCTTAAATAAAGTTCATCCAGATTTATGTTTTAAGTCATTGGATACGCACGTCTTTCTTGTAGTGGGAATGAAAAGATATTTATTTTTGTCTTTAAGTGATATTTCGGGAGAGATAAAAAAAAAAACTAGTATTTATGCACATAGTTAATGGATTATATGTGTTTTTTTCGTTTGGTATTCTTGGATGTAGAATCGTCTCAGAAAAATGAAATGGAACAACTAGAATAAATTTCCAGGTATGTAACACTGTATAACTAATAAAGGTGTGCTCGATTACAAGTCATATCTGAAACAAAATATGATTCTATATTTCTAACCATTCTATTAGATCAAATAAAATAAACAAGAAAACAGTGTTTCGTGCATAACCCACCATTTTTCTTTCCCTTTGATCATAACAATTAACAGTAATGTTATGCATTTAAGATGAGTCTTAAATAGCAATACAAGCAAACTGAAAATATTTATCATTCTTCCCTATTATCAGATAGGAAGCAAACAGTTTTAGAAGAGAAAAAAACACGTGATTAAAAACATTTCCGGGTTCCGTTTTGTATATATCTAACTTAAGTGGAAAGCTACTTTTTAATTTCATTTTAACACTTCAAGATTAACGCCGTCATTGTGATTATCGTGTTAAAATTAATTTCCAAACCCTTCAGTCTCATTTGCACTGCCGATATAACTGTTATATTTGCCACTGGACATATACCAACAGTGAAATAATTCGATTATGTTACGCTTCACTGTTGAACATTGAATAAAAACCCCGCCCAATGTTTATCACAAGCCTTATTCAAATGTTATTCATACCCCCTCAAATTCTATTCATTAGTACTATATTCAAATTATAACAAAGAACAATCAAATTATATACCGAATATGCCATTTTGATCATTTTAATTTATTGAACTATTTATTCTTTTAAACCACAATATTATTGTAGAAACTATCCGAGTTATTTTTCTGTGTTTAATGTACATATTAAAATGGAACAAACGATTTTTGCTGTACAATATCAAAATACAATACTTTAAATTTCAAGGAAATGATATCTTAAACGGTAAAATTAAAAGCAAATGTTTTAAGTGAAATATATTTTTTGCTCTAATTTTCCGAATGATTATTGAATATTGTTAATGTGTTCAATATTACAAACTGAGAATTCAACTGAGATAACACATTTGATATTTTGTAGATGAACAGAAGAGGAATGGCACTCAATGGAAAATATTCGTTTTTACCAGCTTGGATACTATCCGTGACAGAAATTCAGCGGAAAACAAATTGTGGATAATGTTGTGGAATTTTAGTGAATTCGATACTATATATTTTACGATACTATATATTATACGATGGAATAACGACTGTTTGTTGATAATGAGATATTTGGTGTTCATTGTATTACTAGGATCCCAATTAAATAATATCCAGTATCAGCTGCCTTCTTTAGTAAGTTTTCATCTTCGTTCAAGATGGAGTTACGTCCTTTAGAATTATTTAAATGGGCGAACACTTTTTTTAGAAAGTGCCCATGGAAATATCCAGAGGGCAAAACGTCCAGATGAATGAAGATGAACAATAGAAAATATCTCTCCATTCCTGAAAAATAATGGAGAGTTTAAACAAAAGATTTACGTCACAGGTGTATTTTAAGAATTAGTTAATTCAAAGAATCAAAAAGTTGCGTGAACGTTTTAAATAGTATTTAAACGGGCATCTAAAATGACAGTTTGATGATTTTCACACTCAATAGTGCCTATTTTACGATGTGTGTATAAAAAGGTGATAATGTAGTTTAAACCCAGACAATGTTATACCATTAGTTTTCCCTGAGAATCAGTGATGTACTTTAATTATTACATTATTTTATATTTATCTACCTTTCTTCTGTTTATTTTGAAAAGTTTTCACCTTCAATTGGTCCCTTCCGATACGCTTCTTTGGTTGATCTCCTCCTTTACTCGTCTCTGATTGAATTCTTTTACCAAATCTCTGACCTCCTTTATTCTTACCTTGATTTCAATAAAAAATGAAACTTAATCTCTCATAACGATGAACCAATTCACGGCAATTATTGAAATGACATATGCCATCAATATAATTCGATTTAAAGGGCTCGACCATTAAATCGCGTTATCAGAGGAAGACCAGCAATAGTTCATTAGCGGGTCAAAGCAGACGCGCATGTCTAAATTTATTACACTACATATAAATTAACTGTTCTTGCACTCCTCATCACAAATTTTGCAAACGCTATCTTCAAGGATTTATATTGATTTAAGGTCAGATTATTGAGTTAATTTAGTATACACATGATTACTTGATATTTAATTTTAATACATTCAATCGATTTTATTTGTTTATGTTTATTATATGCCTATATAACGAATTATGATGTTTGATTTAATTCAATTTTTAGTTTCATTCATATTATTGCTTTGTCTTTTATTGAGGCATCTAATGTCGATGCTATCTATGCTAATTACATTTTGTTATGCAGATTATGCTGGTAGCTTCCTATTATCAGGTATGTAATTTATACTAAATATTCGATGCGCGCTGAGAGTCATCTAATATCGCTAGACAATTCAATTATCCATGGTACACCTAATTGTTGTTTGATGTTGTGAATTATTTCAGTGAGTTATATTTAACTAGGCTTCCGTTAAGAAATATTCGGTAAATGCTTTAAATTGACATTTGATTAATTGATTTATTATCAATTCTTTTCCGTCATAGATATTGCGTTGTTCATTTCATGTTTACTTTTATATTTAGTTATACACATATTTTAAGATTGACAACTTTTATTATTTTATTTATACTGTGTTCATTTATTGGAAGGTTAGTGATGCCTAGGGGGAAAACTGTCGCGAGGGGAAAAGGCGTTAAAAGAAGGAGAACAGCCCTAGTTACTATGAATGACAGGACAGCTGCACTGTCCCAAACAGAACATGATGTAGTGCCGCCCCGGATGCAATTTCAAACATCTAATGCACCAGGACCATCTACCATGTCTAACAGTTCAGTGGATTTGCCGAATAATGAAGAGTCCGTAATGCCTGTGTATTCACAAAACATCAATGAACAAGGTACATTTCAAAATTTTGAATCTAATGTCAATTCTGTACATGAAATTCCCAGCATCAGCAATGATTTGGGTAATAATGTTTCGAGCAATATCAGACAAAAAATCTTAAATGGTGAATATATTGATCTGGGTTGTTTATTGTCGAACCCAGTACCTATTGATGATAATTCTAATACTTTTATAATTATAAAAGATGGTGTTCTACAATCTAAACCAAAAGCATCAACAGTAAAGATTAATAATATTAGTCAGTGGACTGATGCATTTCTGATTTTTATTGATATTTATTTGTCAAGTCATTTGGGAGAGGCAAGAGGGCTTCTGAAATACATGAGTAACATACGACTGGGAGCTAGTAGGGTTCCCGGTTTAGGCTGGAAGAGGTACGACGAGCAATTCCGTTTAAAAAAATAAGAATGCCGTCTTGTAACTGGGGAACAGTTGATTTAGAGCTTTGGTTACTCTTCATGTATGATGATAACACACAAAATAACCAAAACCATGTAACTAATGTGTATAAGTGTTATGATTATAACAATGGCTCCTGTACTAGGCCTAACTGTCATTATTCACATAGTTGTTTACGTTGTACAGGTATTCACCCATCGGTAAACTGTACAAGATTTTATGGTGCTCAGACAAATTTTAATTTTAGGCGTGGTCCTAGATTCGCTGCTGGACAACCAAATAACAGTTCGCAACGAGGCTCGAGTGCTAATCCAAGGGCAGCTGTCAGATTCCAGCGACCAGCTTTCCACGGTTCATTCAATCGCTAATACGCCAATTAAATTTGATGTTCTTTGCAAGTTTTTGGGAAATTATAGTAATAAAATAGTCGCTTCGGAATTATATTTGGGATTTTTGGAAGGTTTTCGTCTAAATTATACTGGACATAGGATGACTACTGATTGTAGAAATCTAGTTTCTGTTTTTGGCAATGAAGTTGAAGTTGCAAAAAAATTATTGAAAGAAATTAATTTGGGTAGAATAGCTGGCCCCTTTAACAATATACCTCTTTTTAATCTAAGATTGTCTCCGATTGGCTTATGTCCTAAAAAGGATGGTTCTTGGAGGCTTATACAGCATTTATCGTTTCCACACGGTTTAAGCGTAAATGATTATATTGATAAGGGCTTGTGTTCTGTGACTTATACGCCGTTTGACCACGCACTAGATATGGTGGGTAGCCAAGGAAAGTTCGCCCTAATTGGAAAAAAAGATATCAGCTCGGCATTTAGGCTTTTACCAGTAAACCCGGATGATTTCGAGTTATTGGGTTTCAAATTTTTGGACTTTTACTTCGTGGACCGCTGTTTGCCTCAAGGTTGTAGTTTGTCTTGTGCAACATTTGAGAAATTCTCAACATTTTTAGAATGTATCTTTAAGGACAAAACGGGATCGGATAGTGTTATACACTACTTAGATGATTTTTTGTTTGCAGGCCCGGGGACTGATTCAACTTGCCTTCACCTGATGAGTGAATTTGATTGTTTATTTGATCACTTAGGAGTTCCTTTGGCACATGACAAGACCGTCGGTCCAACTCATGTTCTTACTTTTTTGGGGCTTGAAATTAATACAATTGAAATGTCAGTAAAAATTCCCCAAGAGAAATTGCTAAAATTGAAAACAATAATTTCAAACTTGTTAGGCAAAAAAAGAACAACATTACGTGTTCTCCAGTCTTTTACAGGCATTTTGAATTTTTGTTCGCGAGTGATCCCTACGGGTAGGGCATTCAACAGACGTTTTTATGATGCAATGTCAGGAATATCAAATCCTCGGCACCATTTAAGGCTCACTGCGTCAATTAAGGAAGACATAAGGCTGTGGTCGTTATTTTTAGATTGTTTTAATGGCAAATTTTATTTTCCCGATTCCGATTTGATATGGAGTTATTTACTGATAGTTCTGGGAGTGCATTTGGTGGATGTGCTTCGTATTTACATCCTAATTGGGCTTTCTTTCCTTGGCCGTCATTTTGGTTAGGTTGCGATATATTAAAGGACATTACATTTTTAGAGTTATTACCTATTGTATTAGCCTTTCATTTGTGGTATGAGACCTTTGCGAATAAAAAAGTTATCTTACACGTTGACAATAAAGCACTTGTTCATATCTTAAATTCTAAAACGTCTAGATCAAGAAGGGTAATGCATATTCTTCGTCCTTTAGTCTTAAAAGCTATGGTTTATAATATTCAGTTCAAAGCAATGCATATTACATCAAACAAAAACTGTATTGCGGATGCAATTTCTCGTCAACAGTGGGCACGGTTTCTTCGCATGTCTCCAGAGGCTCTACAAGAACCAGAAAAGGTCCCACAGTCTTTTCTACAAGTGATCTCAAATTTGAATCCAACAAGTTGTTAACGGCGTCAATCTCACCAAACACAAGTGACACTTATGAAACTGCTGTCAGGTCATTTGATCAATTTAGATCTTCACACGGACATGCCATTGTTTGGCCACCCTCACTTAATGGTATCTGTAACTTTATAGCATATTTATCTGTGCGAGGTTATGCTCCGTCTACTGTCAAGTCTTATATTTTTGGTATAGCCATTAAATGTAAAATGTTAAATATTACTGATAACACTCAAAATTTTATAATTAAGAAAATGTTAATTGGAATGGAAAGGCTTGACAAACGAGCGGATTCAAGATTGCCAATTACGCCACAGATTTTAGATAAATTGATTTCATTATTACCATCTGTATGTCTCTCACAGTATGAGACCTTATTGTTTTCGGGGTTGTTTAGTTTGGCCTATTTCGGCTTTTTCAGGATAGGGGAATTAGTAGTCAATAAATCACTGGCACATTATCACACTTTGTCGTTAGATGATTTTAGATTTTTGGAAAATAACGTTTCTATCAACCTAAAATTTTCAAAAACTGATCAGTTAGGCAAAGGTAGTTTAATAATTATACCTTCAATTAATTCTCATGTATGTCCTGTTCATTTATTAAAGAGATATTTTATTGCCAGGCCCAAAAGTATTGGTCCTGCATTCATACACTTCGGTGGAAACAATGTTACACGTTATCAGTTTAACGCTGTTCTAAAGAAAGCTCTAAATGTGGCGAATATTACATCGGATAATTTTCAAAGTCATAGTTTTAGGATCGGAGCTGCATCTCAGTCTTCGAAAATGGGGTTTTCTGATGATGAAATTCAGGATTTGGTCGTTGGGAATCGAAAGCGTATAAAAGATATATCAGAATACCAACGCTAAAGTTAGCAAGTCAAATTTAATATGTGTCATCATTTATTTGTTTGTATATATTGTACATTATTAATTTGAAATTTGAATACTCGCCTGATCGTCACTTTAAGACTTTCAGGTCAACAAAAGAGTGTTTGGTTGGTGGGTTCTTCAATCATCAAACATGCATTTGTACATGCTAGAAGGTCTGTCGATGGTGTAAATTTAGGTTTGGAACGAATAAAAACTACAATATGGTGGCAAGGAAAAAGTGGAATGAGGATTTGTGAGATAATACCCAAAGTCAAACATTTGCTTACATTTGAAGAACCCCCGCAAGTATTAGTATTTCACTGTGGTGGAAATGATATCGGACAAAAAGTGTCATGTGTATTAGGACACGATATTTTAAAAGTAATTGATTGCCTTCGGGTCTTACTACCACAGTCAAAATTTGTTTAGTCTCAAATTTTACCCAGATTGAAATACAGGAATGAGATTGTACACAGATCTTTGAACAGAACTAGAGTTAGATTAAATAGTTTAGCAGCTACTTATATCATCAAACACTACATATAAATTAACTGTTCTTGCACTCCTCATCACAAATTTTGCAAACGCTATCTTCAAGGATTTATATTGATTTAAGGTCAGATTATTGAGTTAATTTAGTATACACATGATTACTTGATATTTAAGTTTAATACATTCAATCGATTTTATTTGTTTATGTTTATTATATGCCTATATAACGAATTATGATGTTTGATTTAATTCAATTTTTAGTTTCATTCATATTATTGCTTTGTCTTTTATTGAGGCATCTAATGTCGATGCTATCTATGCTAATTACATTTTGTTATGCAGATTATGCTGGTAGCTTCCTATTATCAGGTATGTAATTTATACTAAATATTCGATGCACGCTGAGAGTCATCTAATATCGCTAGACAATACAATTATCCATGGTACACCTAATTGTTGTTTGATGTTGTGAATTATTTCAGTGAATTATATTTAACTAGGCTTCCGTTAAGAAATATTCGGTAAATGCTTTAAATTGACATTTGATTAATTGATTTATTATCAATTCTTTTCCGTCATAGATATTGCGTTGTTCATTTCATGTTTACTTTTATATTTAGTTATACACATATTTTAAGATTGACAACTATTATTATTTTATTTATACTGTGTTCATTTATTGGAAGGTTAGTGATGCCTAGGGGGAAAACTGTCGCGAGGGGAAAAGGCGTTAAAAGAAGGAGAACAGCCCGTGTTACTGAGTATGACAGGACAGCTGCACTGTCCCAAACAGAACATGATGTAGTGCCGCCCCGGATGCAATTTCCAACATCTAATGCACCAGGACCATCTACCATGTCTAACAGTTCAGTGGATTTGCCGAATAATGAAGAGTCCGTAATGCCTGTGTATTCACAAAACATCAATGAACAAGGTACATTTCAAAATTTTGAATCTAATGTCAATTCTGTACATGAAATTCCCAGCATCAGCAATGATTTGGGTAATAATGTTTCGAGCAATATCAGACAAAAAATCTTAAATGGTGAATATATTGATCTGGGTTGTTTATTGTCGAACCCAGTACCTATTGATGATAATTCTAATACTTTTATAATAAATGATGGTGTTCTACAATCTAAACCAAAAGCATCAACAGTAAAGATTAATAATATTAGTCAGTGGACTGATGCATTTCTGATTTTTATTGATATTTATTTGTCAAGTCATTTGGGAGAGGCAAGAGGGCTTCTGAAATACATGAGTAACATACGACTGGGAGCTAGTAGGGTTCCCGGTTTAGGCTGGAAGAGGTACGACGTGCAATTCCGTTTAAAAAAAATAAGAATGCCGTCTTGTAACTGGGGTACAGTTGATTTAGAGCTTTGGTTACTCTTCATGTATGATGATAACACACAAAATAACCAAAACCATGTAACTAATGTGTATAAGTGTTATGATTATAACAATGGCTCCTGTACTAGGCCTAACTGTCATTATTCACATAGTTGTTTACGTTGTACAGGTATTCACCCATCGGTAAACTGTACAAGATTTTATGGTGCTCAGACAAATTTTAATTTTAGGCGTGGTCCTAGATTCGCTGCTGGACAACCAAATAACAGTTCGCAACGAGGCTCGAGTGCTAATCCAAGGGCAGCTGTCAGATTCCAGCGACCAGCTTTCCACGGTTCATTCAATCGCTAATACGCCAATTAAATTTGATGTTCTTTGCAAGTTTTTGGGAAATTATAGTAATAAAATAGTCGCTTCGGAATTATATTTGGGATTTTTGGAAGGTTATCGTCTAAATTATACTGGACCTAGGATGACTACTGATTGTCTGATTGGCAATGAAGTTGAAGTTGCAAAAAAATTATTGAAAGAAATTAATTTGGGTAGAATAGCTGGCCCCTTTAACAATATACCTCTTTTTAATCTAAGATTGTCTCCGATTGGCTTATGTCCTAAAAAGGATGGTTCTTGGAGGCTTATACAGCATTTATCGTTTCCACACGGTTTAAGCGTAAATGATTATATTGATAAGGGCTTGTGTTCTGTGACTTATACGCCGTTTGACCACGCACTAGATATTGGTGGGTAGCCAAGGAAAGTTCGCCCTAATTGGAAAAAAAGATATCAGCTCGGCATTTAGGCTTTTACCAGTAAACCCGGATGATTTCGAGTTATTGGGTTTCAAATTTTTGGACTTTTACTTCGTGGACCGCTGTTTGCCTCAAGGTTGTAGTTTGTCTTGTGCAACATTTGAGAAATTCTCAACATTTTTAGAATGTATCTTTAAGGACAAAACGGGATCGGATAGTGTTATACACTACTTAGATGATTTTTTGTTTGCAGGCCCGGGGACTGATTCAACTTGCCTTAACCTGATGAGTGAATTTGATTATTTATTTGATCACTTAGGAGTTCCTTTGGCACATGACAAGACCGTCGGTCCAACTCATGTTCTTACTTTTTTGTGGCTTGAAATTAGAACAATTGAAATGTCAGTAAAAATTCCCCAAGAGAAATTGCTAAAATTGAAAATAATAATTTCAAACTTGTTAGGCAAAAAAAGAACAACATTACGTGTTCTCCAGTCTTTTACAGGCATTTTGAATTTTTGTTCGCGAGTGATCCCTACGGGTAGGGCATTCAACAGACGTTTTTATGATGCAGTGTCAGGAATATCAATTCCTCGGAAGACATAAGGCTGTGGTCGTTATTTTTAGATTGTTTTAATGGCAAATTTTATTTTCCCGATTCCGATTTGATATGGAGTTATTTACTGATAGTGCTTGGAGTGCATTTGGTGGATTTGCTTCGTATTTACATCCTAATTGGGCTTTCTTTCCTTGGCCGTCATTTTAGTTAGGTTGCGATATATTAAAGGACATTACATTTTTAGAGTTATTACCTATTGTATTAGCCTTTCATTTGTGGTATGAGACCTTTGCGAATAAAAAAGTTATCTTACACGTTGACAATAAAGCACTTGTTCATATCTTAAATTCTAAAACGTCTAGATTAAGAAGGGTAATGCATATTCTTCGTCCTTTAGTCTTAAAAGCTATGGTTTATAATATTCAGTTCAAAGCAATGCATATTGCATCAAACAAAAACTGTATTGCGGATGCAATTTCTCGTCAACAGTGGGCACGGTTTCGTCGCATGTCTCCAGAGGCTCTACAAGAACCAGAAAAGGTCCCACAGTCTTTTCTACAAGTGATCTCAAATTTGAATCCAACAAGTTGTTAACGGCGTCAATCTCATCAAACACAAGTGACACTTATGAAACTGCTGTCAGGTCATTTGATCAATTTAGATCTTCACACGGACATGCCATTGTTTGGCCACCCTCACTTAATGGTATCTGTAACTTTATATTTATCTGTGCGAGGTTATGCTCCGTCTACTGTCAAGTCTTATATTTTTGGTATAGCCATTAAATGTAAAATGTTAAATATTACTGATAACACTCAAAATTTTATAATTAAGAAAATGTTAATTGGAATGGAAAGGCTTGACAAACGAGCGGATTCAAGATTGCCAATTACGCCACAGATTTTAGATAAATTGATTTCATTATTACCATCTGTATGTCTCTCACAGTATGAGACCTTATTGTTTTCGGGGTTGTTTAGTTTGGCCTATTTCGGCTTTTTCAGGATAAGGGAATTAGTAGTCAATAAATCACTGGCATGTGGCAGTTAGGATTATTATGTCATTGTTATTTCCCTTGTTTAAAACTATAAATTTCATATTTCTTTATTTAATAATTTACATGAAGCTTATTCAGTACATATTTGTTAAATTGAATAGATATTGATATTTTGAAATCATTGGTTAAAGATATTTATTCATATTCTAAAGTTTAATATTTGCATCGTCGCAGAACCTTTAATTACCTTCTTCGGAAAACTTATATATTTTATATAACTGGTTTGAAATTATTATGTTGAATTGTCTGAGGACTGACGTTCAGTCCAACCTAGGAAAGCCGTGCTTTCCAATCACCCTTTAAGGTTAGTGCATCTGCCATATGCCTTCTTAATACGGGTTAATATTGAAGTCATTGAATGCTCCATTTCTAAACTTTTGGATTTCACACATGTTCTACTTATTGAATAAATTATATATTGTTTTCACTGTTTTTTGGTTTTCATTTACTTAGATACTTTATAGCGCTTTTACATTTGGCATCCATCGTCTCCGTTTAAATCATATCACAAACTAGAACAAGCTGTGGTCTGCATCCCCGAATCTCCAGCAGAATTGTTCCTGCTACAGGTACATTCTCACACTTTGTCGTTAGATGATTTTAGATTTTCGGAAAATAACGTTTCTATCAACCTAAAATTTTAAAAAACTGATCAGTTAGGCAAAGGTAGTTTAATAATTATACCTTCAATTAATTCTCATGTATGTCCTGTTCATTTATCAAAGAGATATTTTATTGCCAGGCCCAAAAGTATTGGTCCTGCATTCATACACTTCGGTGGAAACAATGTTACACGTTATCAGTTTAACGCTGTTCTAAAGAAAGCTCTGAATGTGGCGAATATTACATCGGATAATTTTCAAAGTCATAGTTTTAGGATCGGAGCTGCATCTCAGTCTTCGAAAATGGGGTTTTCTGATGATGAAATTCAGGATTTTGGTCGTTGGGAATCGAAAGCTTATAAAAGATATATCAGAATACCAACGCTAAAGTTAGCAAGTCAAATTTAATATGTGTCATCATTTATTTGTTTGTATATATTGTACATTATTAATTTGAAATTTGAATACTCGCCTGATCGTCACTTTAAGACTTTCAGGTCAACAAAAGAGTGTTTGGTTGGTGGGTTTTTCAATCATCAAACATGCATTTGTACATGCTAGAAGGTCTGTCGATGGTGTAAATTTAGATTTGGAACGAATAAAAACTACAATATGGTGGCAAGGAAAAAGTGGAATGAGGATTTGTGAGATAATACCCAAAGTCAAACATTTGCTTACATTTGAAGAACCCCCGCAAGT